AACATCTACCTTCAAAGTGCTGAACTGAAGAGTTAAAGACCTTATTACCAAAAATGGACTAACTCACTTTGTGTAAATAAGGAGACATTTATATTATTTTAAAAACCAACCCATGCACTGTTTTCTTTTTGTACTGTAAACAGGTAAGAGAACAGGCAAGACATCTACAGCAATCAAATAAATTAAGACTTTTTTGTTCAATGTTTGTACAGCACCTAGCACAAGAGTGTCCTGGTTTATGACTAAGGCCCATAAGCAAAACCTACTATACCACCACTAAAGAGTAAAAGAGACTTCCCATTTACATTATGTCATAGTCTATAAAACTACAATGGGGGAAATCCTAGTCCCGTTGAACTGAATAGGAGTTTGGCATTGATTTCAGTCAAGATTTCACACAATGGGCTTCTCTGGAAGAGGGATTGCAGTTTATTTTTAACAACATAACAGACTTTGGGGTTATTATTCCTTTTGGAAAGATCAGCAGGAGAGGAGAGCTTTTGGGAGTTGGACTAGCTAAAACCCAAATTCTTGCCCCAATTATGCAAGCTGTTGTGCACTGCCAAACTACTTGCACAAGTGCATAGATCCATTGATTTCAGCTTTGGATGCAACAGCCAGCAAAAATAGGGCTTAAGCGGGTTAGCTAAGTAACAAATAAATGGGCAATTGGGGAAGTGAAAATTGTCTACAAATATTGAACAGTGCAAGTGTAACCCACACATCTACGGGGTGTGGTTCTCTGTCCCATGTAGTGGCATTTAGATTACTTATATAGAGAGAAAGAAGCTTTAGCTGAGAGCAAGCTGGCTTTGTATCTCAGGCTGTAGTGTAGAGGCTCATGCACTGTTTCTGAGATCCCAGGTTTGGTTCCACCTGTCAGCAGTACATAGGCATCAACAACGAAGGAAAAAATTAGATGCAAGGGATCACAAACACACTAATCAGATGAAGGTATGGAAAGAAAAGCTTTGGGTATTAGAAAAAAAAATTCCTTAATGTCAATTCTGTCATATTGGAGATTCGTCTCCCCAAAGGAGAGGTCTTGTTGTTTATTTTTAAAATGGTAAACTGGACAATACACTAGAAAAATACACTGGTGATCCCAGTCCCACATTGGCAAGGGCTGAAACAGAAAATCTTGTAGACCTTCCTCCACCTTTCTCTGATTTCTACAAAGTGGGGCAGAAGGTGAAAGCTATACGCTCTCTAAATAAGAGAACATACAAACTCTGCTAACATCATACTAGACTAGATCTTCTCTCTCATGGGTATTCTCAGAACCTCATGATTTATGTTTGTAAGAAATAAACACATGCTATACATTTACATCACATACCTGCACACTTTAAGTGAGGCCCAAGGGCTAGTGCCTTCAATCATCCTGAGAAGGAAGCATATGTCATATGCCTTTGTGATTAGACTTCTTGCATTTTATAAAATGATACCACTGAAATTTTAAGTAGGAAAAATACCCCTCAGAGTTATTTATGAAAAATGAGAAGCTGAACAGAACTTTTTTTTAGCAAAAGCTAAAATTTTGGGGCTAAAATGTAAGAATCATTAACACAGATATATGTAATTCGCCTGATTCAGGGTATCTGGAAGCTAAAAATCCATAAATGGGCCTGGCAAATAATTCAGTGCTATCACAGCACAGATTGGGAGGAGGGAGGTTATGTCCAACCCTATTTGGTTATCACTTTATGGACTGAAATATTTTGGATTCCATGATGTGAACCTCATTTAGTCCTTAGCCACCAAGTCCTGGTAAATTTCCCAAAGGAGGCAAGCAGCAGCCCAGAAATGAAAAGATAACTTACAGCAAAGGTATTAGTTTCTTCTGTGTTCTATGCAATATCTTTTTGTGTCTCATTGATGCCTTGTCACCTCACTGCAATCACCTCTCTCTACATTTCCCATCTAAATTTTGCTGCAACTCTTTTTTATTGTTTACCCCCACTTCTGTTTCTGAAGCTTCGGGGGGTAGCCGAGTTAGTCTATAAAGTGCTACCAGATTATTTGTTGTTTTTTCAGTTTACCTGTACAGACTAACAAAACATGTAGATGGTATCATGAAGAAGTAGGCTGTGCCCACAAAAGCTGAAGATACCTTCTATTTCTGGTTTGCCCTTCTTTTATTCTACCTCACTCCTAAAGCTCTTTTTAAAAATGTGCTAAAGGTTAATAAGAACCCTCTCTCTTTCCCAGTGCTTAACTGGCCCTGTGGGGAGCCCTGCACTCAAGGAAGCATAAGAAAGGGCATATATAAACATTTTACAAACAAAACAGTGCACTAATTCACAGTGATTGAACATTTGACACAATGGTCAATGGCCTCATTTAGACTGCTTTATTTTAAGGTGTAAAACAGGAGTAACAGATCAGAATATGACCACACATGTCAATTCTATAGGCTAGTGAAAGTTAAACATCTGTGGAGAATTGCAAATATTCATATCTGTACATTAATGTTTATCTGCCACAAAATAAATAATATAAATTATCTGATAGCTATATTAAACAATTGTACACTAACTACATTAGCCTATCAGTCTTCTTTTAGGGCTGGGCAAGCATTTGGTATTAACTAGTTTCAATTTTTGCCCATCCCACAAATCTTCGATACATTTTGAAGGTTCAGTTGAGTAAAGAAAAATTGACTCTAAATTTCCCAGTTTCATGCTGGATGGAATTAGGAGATAGGAGGGCTAATCTCATGGGAGTTCTAAAATGGCCTAGATAGCAACTGTCAGGTCAGAGAAATAATAGTAATAATTAATAACGTATCTTAGAAAAGACAAGTGAGTTCATCTCTGTGAAACAGATATTGGGGTTGCTCATCTTTACAGGAAAACGGCAGAGTAGCAGAAAAGTGGTTCTAATAATTATGTCTACCTACAAAGATGAGAAAGCTACTTTAAAAAATGATATAGCTGAAATCTACTATATATTTGAGAGAATTTGTGCATCTTCCCATCTGTGTGTCCATCCTCTTTGTTCAATAACACTGTTTGTTCAATAACTCCTCGTAACTAGTAAGAGCTTGGACCACCAAATTTGGTATGCAGCTTCCTCTTATCATAACTTAATGCAAGGTCAGGGGTTGGTTTGTGCCAGGACAATGGGCTGTGGCTGCAATGAAATTGTTTCTCTTCAAATGGAAAGGGAGGGGTGTGATAGTAGTGACACTTATACTCTTGAGTGACCACAGTGAGGCAGCAGGTGCCCCAGCCCCAGGGAGTAACCTGCGGTTGGGATGTACAGCCTTCACTGGCCACCCTTCCTGCCCTGAGCCCTGCCTCTACATCCCCATGCCTGAATCCCCCACCCCCTGCTCTGACTCCTGCATCCCCCAACATCCCTAAACCACTACCCTGACTCCTGCACCTCACACATCCCTATCCCTGAAGGACCTGAACAACACCAGCTATATATTCTAGTAAAATATTTAAAGCAACAAAGGAGGAAGACACTATAACATCATTCTTGGAAAGTTGAGTTTCATGGAACCGAATGACAACAGGCAAATCAAGTTCCTCTGGCAAGCACTGAACACAGTTAAAACAATGGCGGTAAGGAGTACAGCCCCAAACAGAGATGGAAGTAGCAGGGCTGGGAGCCAGGAGCACAACCCTGGCCGAGGCTGGCACAGTGAGAGGCACAGCCTCACTCGCGCAATCCTGGCCGGGGTTGGCAGTGGGGTACTTCACAACCTCAGGTGCAGGGGACTGAAGCCTGAGCCTGCTTGAGCCCCACAGTCCTGGGGGAGAGGGCCAAAGCCTGCATGTTCCTGCTCTGGGTATGGGGGGGGAGGGGGAGTGTGAGAACTGCTAGTATAGAGTGACAGTTGCTGAATTAATCCAGACCACCACCACCAAATCTATATCTCAACTAGTTCAGATTAATATTTGGTTTACCAAGTATCACACATCTGCCAGAAAATATGAGAAGGGTACTAAGAAAAATGGAAGCAGCTGCAATACACGTTGGACCTCCCCAGTCTGGCACCCTGGGGACCTGATCAGTCCTGAACGAGGGAATTTCCAGACCAGGGGAGGTCATTTCTGGTTTGCCAGCCCAGATTTGGTCCTGGCTTGGCTGCCAGCTCTCCTGATCCCACTGGTCCAGCTGGATTCAAGGCCACAGCAGGGCTGCTGGCCACGCTACCACTCTGGGATCCCAGATGCCAGCCCTGCTGGGCTCCCGGACTAGGGATGTAAAATCCCATTTAATTAGTTAACCGGTTAAATTTTAAGTTTAACCAGTTAACGGATTAAACGGGTGGGCTGGAGTGGTCTGTGCAACGGGCAAGGACTGCTCCAGCCCAGCTGCTTTCAATCCCACTCTGAGCTACTGGCTCCCAGCCTATGTGGGGCTGGGAGCAGCAGCAGGGATGGCTGCCAGCCCACACAGGCTCCTGGGCTGGGAGTTGGCAGCCTCACGCAGGGTGAAAGCAGAAAGCCAGGGGACGGAGGGAGTTGCTGGCTCCCCACCTGCGAATCTTCTGGCCTCACATAAAAGACTTCCAATTCCCAGCTCTCACGGGCTGGAGCAGCTCTCAAGGGTGATGCTTACCAGGTAACCAGTTAACCATTCATATCCCCAGCCCAGATGCCATACCTGCCAGAGCCCACTGCCACGCTGCCCCCCCCCCCCCCA